TACTAGTACTACTACCACTGCGACTACTACTAATACTGCTACTACTACTACTACGACTGCTGCTACTATTACCACCACTACTACTACTAGTACTACTAGTACTACTAGTACTACTACTACTACTACTACTACTACTGCTGCTACTACTACTACTACTACTACTACTACTACGAGTAGTAGTAGTAGTAGTAGTAGTAGTAGCAGTAATAGTAGTAATAGTAGTAATATTATTATTAGTAGTAGTGGTAGCAGTCGTAGTAGTAGTAGTAGTAGCAGTAGTAGTAGTATTAGTAGTAGGAATAGTAGGAATAGTAGTAGTAGTAGTAGTAGTAGTAATCGTAGTCGTAGTCGTGGTCGTACTAGTAGTAGAAGTGGTAGTAGTAGTCGTAGTAGTACTACTACTACAGCTACAGGCCTACTACAGTGCTGCCGCACCATGAATGCAATGTTACTACGGTAGGTCTAGGATGCTCCATTCGTAGAGCAGTACGATTATTACACTATTCCACTATCACTACTACTACTTGCACGACGCTAATCAGTACTAAAGCGCAACGCAAGCAAGAGTATTACTATCACGTGTTATCGCACTACTTTAAAACAGGACTCTAGCACTATAATGTACTACTTTAGTACCCTCTTGCAACACGGGGAGGTGGAAGGGGAGGAGGAGGAGGGAGGATGCGGAGCCTCCCTTGTGTCCCCCCACAATCATGCGACCGGGGGTGGTGCAATTGAGCCGCAATCGGGCGCCCCTCAGGGCTGATGGTTGCCCCAATGGGGTCCCCTTAGGAGGGGAGAGGGCGAGGGGAGGGGGGGGGGGCAGAACAAACAAATGTTTTTTTTGCCCCCCCCATTCAGGTGGTTGCAAGCCTCCTCCCCTGGTCACGAATCTGCTTGTGCGAGGGGTCGCACAATCGAAATCGTGACCAACGGGCGCCCCCCACCCTCTCGCAACGGTGCCCCACCCTTCCGCCCGAAGCCCCAAGCGCATCCCTGGCCATGTGCCACCGACGCACGAGAGAACAGGAAGTCCAAACGGAAACGATTCAGACAGACCCCCACCCTCCAAAGGAAGAAAGCGAATGACGAACCCCAAAAAACGAAAAAGAAACAGCAAGCCGAAAATTGTGAAATCGCAGGGGAGGGATTCGCCCCCGAACCCGTCTGACACTGGTTACTGCGTATGCGTTCACAAACACAAGCGAATGTGATTATGAACTACATCGTGGTTACTATACATATTGAGCTGCATTTGCCGCAAAATAACGCTCTCATGGGCCAACTCGTATACTTGGCGACTTTAATGCTCGATTATTGGACCAATACCCTGGGGAAGAAGAAAATCATGTACCAGAGCCAAACTTCTTCGTGGTCACCAACACCAAACCGAGAATCATTTGTAGAATTATATCATAATTTGGATTATTGTGTCGCGAACCCGTGTCTTCAACATAGCGACAAGCATACCGTCACGTATCACAATATAGGCGTGGATTCGTCAAGCGACATCATGCCGAGGAAATTCGGACAGCTTGGTCATGTCATCAGCAATGACACATTGTTCTCTTCTATGTCTGGAGTGATCGGAATTTGCCACTCCAGTTGCACCACTTTGTACAGATAGCCAACCTCAACATTTCAATTCCGAAAACAGAGCGTAAGCAAAAGAAGGGCCAGCTTGACGTGAAGGCGCTGCGGACCAAGAGCACTCAAGACAAATATGTATACAACTTCTTTTGGGAATGGCAGAAACGACCGTATGGAGCCTCATTAGAAGATCGCGCATCCGCAATATCAAGGTGTATGCTGCCAGCGGCCTCTACGTGCATCCCAACTCGAACAACGCCGCGACTACGTCCGTGGATTTCGGACCGCCCGCTCTTGTTGATCGAGGACCGGAACAAGACGCGACTGACTGGGCAGGCGGTTCACGGCGCCACAGGAGAAGAGCCTGAACAAAATGATTCAAAATTTCTCCGAAGGCAAACTGGAATCACTGGCTGGTAGAAAGCATTACAAAGAATGTGTGGGAAACAATCTGGGCATTCCAGAAAAATGCTACCACCAAATGCGGGCGGCTCCGGGATGCTCAAGGTGAATTGGTCGATGCTCCTCGGCGGGCAACTACCATGGTAGACTATCTGGAGACGGTGCAGTGGCGAGCACCCGAAGACATCCCAATCCCAGAACAACCACATCGATAAGGATACCTAAACGTTGAGGTGGCACAGATCACGCCGGCGGAGGTACGAGAAGCGTTGCGACATCATCGTATACAGCGAGCTTCTGGAACCGATGGAGTGCTACCTGAACTCTGGAAGTCTTTATCGGATAATGCCGAAGCCGTGGACATATCAACATCATTTGTTATGCAATGTTTGTTGAGGCAACAGAGACATCCCAGAATAATGGAGAGAAGTATCCGTTGTAACTGCTTTCAAAAAGGGAGACACATCGTATCCTTGCAATTATCGGCCCGTCTCTTTGCTCACAGTGGTGTACAAGATATTTGCGATCATGTTGGTAAGAAGACTGAAGCTAGGGGGCACCGAAGAAGCACTCAGGGAGTTTCAATATGGCTTCAGGCCCAGCCAGGCACAAGCTAAGGCTTCTTCTTGGCACGCCAGTTGATCGACGCCACATTGGAGGACAAGGAGAGCAAACTATTGCTATTACTTATGGCCTGGAGCAAAGCTTTCGACCACATCAGCCCCAAAGGACTTGTCCACGCACTACAGCGATTCCGCGTTCCACCAGCAATTGTCGAGATGATTAGAAAGGCACGACATCATCGCAAAGAGCACTGTCCGCTGGAATCGCACAAGGGTTTCCGCTATCACCGTATGTGTTCATCATCCTTATGTTCGTTATGTTAGAGCATGTAGACAAGCGTTTCGCAGAGGAGAAACCGTGCCAGGATACCCAAGCGTACCTGGTCACCGAAGACGTGCTGTACGCAAGCGACAGCATGATGGTCTCCAGGGGCCCCGACGCGCTCCAAACGTATTTGAATTTGGTAGTTGCAGTTGGAAGAGTTTATGGGCTGGAACTGAACTCGGCGAAGACCGTATTGTTGCAAATACGTTTGCACGCAAAGATTATCGGACTGAATGGTGAATCCATACGGTGCCAAGATAGCGCGGTCAATTTGGGGGGCCTGCTAAGCGTCGACGGGAAGCCCCGCGCCGAGCCCACACAGAGGCTCAGTGAAGCCAAGGCCATATTTCAAAAATTGTGATTGGCTTGGAATCACGCCAATCTGAGCAAGACCTGGAAGCACTGTATACTGGATGCGTGTGTTCTCGGAGCTGTTGTATGGGCTGGAGCCGCGCGTGCTCTAAAGGGTAGACACATATATATAGACTCGATGCATTTCAAGCAAGGTGCTTGCGACAAATACACAAGATTTTGCCAGCATATGTATCCCGAGTGAGCAGTGCAGAAGTTCGTGGAATCGCCAACGAAAGATTCTTGTCAGTTTCTCTTATGGAAAGGCAGCTCAACCTGATGGAAGACTCGCCCGAGACGCGCCAACGAGCCTCCCAAGAGCAGTGGTTTTCGACAGTTGCCAGTCACACCAGGTGACAGCGCGGAGAAGGGATACCCGACGCTCGCGTGGACGGCCTCGACTACAGTGGACGACCTACTTACACGCGCCAGCCTTGGCCGCTGCGGCGGGCGACCACGACGAGCTGCAAGCCATCCTGCAAATTCCTTCTGAGTGGCTTTCGGCTGTAGCGCAACACTGCGCAGTCTAGACGCATTCGTTCCCTCCTCGTCGTTCCCTCCCCCTTTCCTCCCCTTCTCCCTCTCCCACCCTCACTTCCCTGGCCGGTGCTTTGTCGTCCACCCTCGCGCTGCCCTAGCATGCTTGTGCATTGTACTCCGAGCCCCGGCGAGGCACGCGCCCTTGGTTGATTGGGCCCCGCATGTGCTTTCCGGTGGGTGGGAGCAGCAGCAGCGTCATCGGCACTGGCATCGTCATCGGCATCGTCATCCTCCTCCTCCTCCTCCTCCTCATCATCACCAACCTCACCCATCACCCTCTTCAACATCAAGTTTATTCACATCATCATCATCATTATCATTATCATCGTCATCATCATCATCATCATCACCATTACCATCATCATCACCATCATCATCATCATCATTATCATCATCGTCATCATCATCATCATATTCATCATCATCGTCTTCTTCATACTGGTCGTCGTTATCATCATCAGCACCACCACCACCTTTAGCATCATCATCATCACAGTCATCGTCATCGTCATCACCATCATCATGATCATCACAATGATCATCATCACCACCACTATCACCATCATCTTGGTCCTTCCTCTCCTCCCCTTCCCCCCTCTTCCTCCCAGCTTTCTTCCGCTCGTCATCTTCCTCATCCGCGTCCTCGACCTTTAACCTCCTCACCCTCACGCATCACCATCCTCATCATGATCATCATCATCGTCGTCGGCGTCGTCGTCATCTTCTTCATCATCATTGTCATCATCATCGTCACCGTCATCGTCATCGCAATCGTCATCGTCATCGTCGTCGTCATCGTCGTCATCAGCATCATCGTCATCAGCATCATCGTCATCAGCATCAGCAGCAACAGCATCAGCAGCAACAGCATCAGCATCAGCATCAGCATCATCATCATCAGCATCATCATCATCATCACCATCATCACCATCACCATTACCATCACCATCACCATCACCATCATCATCATCACCATCATCATCATCACCATCATCATCATCATCATCGTCATCATCATCATCGTCATCATCACCATCACCATCACCATCATCATCATCATCATCATCATCATCATCATCATCATCATCATCATCATCATCATCATCATAATCATCATCAATCATCATTATCATCCTGAGCCTTGTCCTCAGAGTCATCCTGCTCACCCTCATCGACCCGGTTATTCCTCTCCTCGACAGCGCTGCCGCTGCGATCATTGGTCGCGGAGCCTGACGGAGCCGGATCCAGGCTGCGTCGAGCTCCTGGGGGGGGCAAGGCGGATCTGGGAGGGCTGGGGCACGCGGCACGCGAGCGGGCGCCGGGCAGGGCCGTCGGGGGCAGGGAGCGGAGCGCAGAGAGCGCAGAGCGCAGGGCGGGACAGGGGCGAGGAGGGGAGGGCAGGGCAGGGCAGGGCCGGGCCAGGCTCCCCGGGGCTGGGCCGGAGCCTGCGCCACTCTCCGCGCACGGGCACGGGTGGGGTGACAGCCTGGCGCACGCGCAGTCGCGTCCCTGAGGGGCGCTGCCAGGCGGCTGGGGAAATACGAGTGTAGCGGAGCAGCTTCAAGCGAACAGGGCATCGGAACGAACCCCAAGACGTGGGCAAGTTGTGAAGAGGGTGCGTCGTCCCTTGAACTCACTCATGGGTCGGTAACTGTCAGAATTGATGCTGCTCCAGGGCTCTGACCAATTCACGAGCGCCAGCTGTTATGAAATGCTATGCCTCCATGGTCTCGCTCAGCTCGAACAAATGTAATGTTCAAAAGCATTTTTCACGTCGCCATGCCAATGACTGATGCTCAAAACACATACGGTCGCGACACTTGTGCTTGCGTGCGTCGTTGACAGCCATGCTTTCTCATACCAAGCTTTTGGAAATCGTACGGGGGCCACCGCTAAAATCCGTGAGGGAAGGAGGGAGGGAATGGAGATACAGAGGTAGGCGAGGGAGGGAAGACATGCACGGAAAGAGGGAGGGACAGGTACACCACAACCACGTCGAGGGAATGTAATAGTCCAGGGTGGGGGGCCTGCGGAGGAGGGGGCGCGAGCCTCAGGGATCTGGCCCACTCCTTCTCCGGACGCGACGCCTCCCGCCGCGGCGGACAGCAAGGACGAGTGCGAGGAGGGACGAGAGCGGAAAGGAACGAGGAGGAACAGACGGTGCGAGGTCGTGCGAGGCGGACGAGTGCGAGGAGGACGAGTGCGAGGAGGACGAGTGCGAGGAGGACGAGTGCGAGGAGGACGAGTGGCGGAGCGGAAAGGGACGAGTGCGAGGAGGACGAGTGCGAGGAGGGACAAGACGGAGGACCACAGACCTTCGGAGGTCCACTGCCGCTTCTGGCATCGGCGCCGAGCCCCTCCTTGGCGAGCGGAGCGCGCCGAGGGGGCGGCGCTGGAGGCGCCGCCGGGGGGCTCAGACGCTGACCCGAGGCAGCCGCGCGGACCAACGGAAGCTTATGCCCAGCATGCATTAGTGCTCCTCGAGGCGAGGCAGAGCGAAGCGAACGCCCGAGCCGTGCGCGCTCCTCTGGGGGGCCCGCCGGTGCCCAGGAGAGGGCACGGCGTGGGGGCCGTGGCCTCAGGAAAAGTGGGGCACGCGTGCGGGCCTGTGTCTCTTCGTCGTCTTCGTTTCCTTTCTGCTGTGTTTCTTCCTGGAGGCGAACGGGGGGGCGAGCTCGCGCGCTCCGCGGGGTCGTGGTGCTGCAGCATCGTGTACCGGTTCGTGCGGCCCAGGAAGACGGCGCCGCGTGCCTCGCTGAGGCGCCGCCAGGCCTGCAGGCCCACCTGCGACCGCTGGCCGCTGTTTGGCCGCCTCTCCTCCATCCGTCCCGCAAGGCCCTGGCATTCCTCCTCCCGCCGACCTCTGAAGCCGTTTACAACCACCGTTGAGACCCGCCGAGGAAACGTGGCAACCTGAAGGAGCACCAGAACCATCGGGGCCCCTCGGCAGCGATGTGTGCATGAATCAAGCCCTCCTCCCGTCCACCTCCTCACTCAACCCCCTCCCCCTCCCCCTCCTCCTCCTCCTCCTCCTCCTCCTCTTCAGAAGGAATGGCAGGGGGAGGGCGAGCTGGAGAGGGAGGGCGAGTGGGGATTGCGAGGGCGAGTGGGGAGTGCGAGAGGGAGGGCGATGGTGCCCCCCCAAAAAAAACGTCCTCCAGGCCGTCTGCCACTGGGAAGCTCGGCGTGGTGAGCGGCCGGCCCACCTTGGGCGGCCCCAGGCGCTTGCACACTGGAGCAGCAGAGCAGAGCAGGGGAACGAGGAGGATGCGGGAGGAGGAGGAGGGAGGAATGAGGGCGAGGAGGACGAGGAGGGCAAGGAGAAGGAGGAGGAGGAGGACGAGGAGGAAGACGAGGAGGACGAAGAGGACGAGGAGGAGGAGGACGAGGAGGTGGGGAAAGGAGAAAGAAGAGGAGGGCGTAGAACACGGAGGGGGAGGGGAGGGACAGCGAGGAGGGATGGCGGACAGGTGGGCATCACACGGCCGCAGAGGGCAGACTGGCAGCGCCGACGGACGAGACAAAGGGAGGCGCGGGCTCGCGCCGCGGACTGCTCGTATGCGTGCCAGTGTGCCAGAAATGATCGCCGCTGACGGCACCACCACCACAGCATTTTTGAAGGGGCCCCGAGACACACAAATAAATATACACAAATAGAAGGATTGCCTATATTTTCCCATATTTTCTGGGTTTCTGTCTTCCCCCCCACTTCCCATATTTTCCCATATTTTCTGGGGAATCGACGATTAATTGTGTCTGTGTGTTTCTTTCCCTCCTGAATTTTGCTTCTTCCGGTACTTCGCCACCGGGTTCCTGTACAAGGCGTTCCTTTGCATGCTCATCGCCTGCGGCACCGCCTGATTCCGGGGCCTTGCCCCCTCCTGGCCTCGACGTGAGGCCACTCCTTCTGCCTTCCCCCCTCTGTCAATTAAAGCTGTGCGCGGCCCGCTAAGCTTCGACCGGAAGAGGTGCGCTCTCGACCCGCGGATCAAAAAAAGTTTGTATGTGTGCCAGTGTGTCAGGAATGCGCCCAAAGTCCCGATGGCGATGCCAAACGAGGCAGAAAATGCAACGCAACGCGAACGGCGCGGCGAAGGGATTCATTATGGTCCGAGTTGGTAGCACAACAAGGAAACCCCAGACTGGGAGACCAGCAGGGGCTACACACTTCGCGTGCCCGAACGCGCCCTGCTGCCTTGCAGTTCGCCATCCCACCAGAATTCGTGGAATGAGCGGGCCAATCCGAAACACACAAGATGAGAAAGCCCACGTGAATTCGCCACTGGTTCCCCCAGAGGGCAGGTGGTCCGCCTCCCCCCTTGCCCCACGTTCCCTGGCCCGCCGTCCCCGAATCGCCTCCCCTTTCCGATCCAGCGTCCCGGACCAACCCCCTCCGCCCATTCCAAAGGAGGGGGGCTCCCTCCACTCTCCTCCCCTCTTGGGAAGGGGGTCCCTCCCGCCACCTCCCCTTTGTCCCGAAAAAGAAGGGATGCCGACCCCCCTCTGCTCCAGAACCCTTTCCCTACCACCTTACCGCACTAGCTCACCCAAATCCTAACCCTAGCACCCTAACTTAATCCGAACACCCTGACCAGAAGCACAAACAATAAGCCGAACCTTAAACTACCACTCGAACTCTCACACCCCAACGTACCACCCTAACCCAAGCACCCTCATCCCAACCCCATCCCAACCCTATCACCCTAACACTAAGACTAACAACCTAACCCTGACCCAAACCCTAACATCCAAGACCTAGCCAAGCCACCCTATCCATAGCATCCTAAACCCCAGCAGCATGGCCCTAACCCTAACACCCTAAACCTACGCATTGCCCGAACACTAACACCCGAACCACAACACGCGAACGCTAACACACTAGCCCTAAAACACTGAACCTAACACCCTAACCGTGACCCTAATTACCACCCTAACCCTCACCCTAACCTTGACACCTTAACCCGAACATGCTAACCCTGGCACCCACACCTTAACCCTAAACATGAACCCTAATCCTACCACCCTAAACCTAACGCCGTAACTCTGACCCGAACACCCCCACGTGAAGCACTAACCCTAACCATGAAACCCTGACTAGCCCTCACAACCTAACCCTAACACCATCACACCCTAGCCTTCAAACCCGAATCACAACATCATAACACCCTGAACCTAATCCTAACGCCTTAACCCCAACCGTAACAGCCTCGCCATGACAATAAGCCCTTGACCCTGACAACACAACCCTAACATCCCAACCCTGATACCCTAACCCCAACATCCTAATCTTAAACACTACCCCTAACGCCACCATGGGCCAAAGCGCGACCCCTCCCCACCCTTCCACCGCCAAAGGGGCGGAGGGAACTTTCCAAATGGGGAGAGGGAGGGATCTACCGTCCAACTTACTGTCTCTCCTCTTCTCTGGCACAAATGGGGGAGGTTCGACCCCAAGTTGGGTAAAAACCTAACGAGCCTTTACAAACACACCTGAAACGTCGCCTTTGGGAAGGGCCGTTTGGTTTGGGAAGGCCCGGTTGGTTTGGGAAGGCCCTGGCCTCATGTTGCGGAAGGCCCGATCGTTTGGAAAGGTCCTGGTCTCGGTCCGACCCCCTACCCTGAACGGGCGGGAGGGTGCGGTGTAAACACATTCAAAGGACGGAAGAGAAGGTCTCAAAACCTCCTTTTAGAACAGTGGAGCTCATTCGCTCATTGGATCGTGCAATTCTCTGATCCACGTACCCGCCCTGGAAGCAGCGCTCACGACGGACTCACTTGAACTGGTCGCCGACGCTCACATCTCAACGCGAAGGCCCTGCTGGCTTACCCATCACCAAGCATATGGAATTGGCCCCCAGCACGGCTCTGCATACAAAAGCGGCGATGGCGGGAATGGCAAACGCGTAGAATGACTGACGGACTGCGGAGACGCTGCCGCGCACTGCACATGATTGCCACGGGCGTTTGCTTGCCAGCATCATCGATCAAAAGGGCGGCGACGGACGAGGACGGGAGCGAGGCGGACGACGAGGGAGGAAAACGAGGAGGACGAGGGGGATGGGCACCAGGAGGACGAGTAGGACGAGGCCGAGGAGGAGTAGGGGGAGAGCGGGGAGGAAAACGGGGAGGAGGACGAGGACAACGGGGAGGAGGACGACGAGCAGGACGAGCACGATACTGACAGGGAGGACAATATGTGAAATGTACGGGAGTAGCTACATGGAATACAGACAGACACGAAGTGAAAATGGGGGGACGCGTGCTATAAGAAAGCGCGTTCTGTTTTTTTACGGGGGCCAGGGCGCGCCCGTCGCATTTGAACCAGATGACTCGGGGGCCCTTGTGTACCACAACGGCGGCACACAAGGGAGGTGGGACGGAGGCGATTGAGGAGGAGAGGCTGACATACGCATGACAACCACAGCTCTTACCGTTCTTCCAGCCGAAAAGCCGACTCAGCCTCAGTCCACGAACTTCATCTTACTGTTATTGGGAAGCGTCGCCGTTTGGATACCGTAGACTTCGCCAGTCGTCCCAAAGCGTCTGTGACATGCAGCCAGTACAGCCTCGCGAACACGTAGGTCTTGAGAACGTCGCCAGGAGAGGTCCGCCCAAGGATTGCCATATCCTTCTTCGCCCGCAATTGTCCCCATCTCGTATATGAAACTCTTCGGCTCGGAGCCGCTGAGGTCATACTGATACCAAGTAGCGGGATGCTGCGCTGAGCTCTATGATCAAATGAGGAACCCATCTCTCGCTCGTGGGCATCAGCTTGACAGAAAAAAGATTCAAGCTCGTCCATCTTCAGGTCGGAGTCCTCGATCGGCGCGCCCGAATAATCGTGATCACTCGAAACCCTAATAAGAATAGCCCGCGCCGCATGATGCATCCTAACCGTGCGATTCCATAACGTGTAGCATCCAACAACAGGCTGCTTCCACTGGACCTTGTCGTAGATCTCCCTCACCATAGTGGTGTGGATCAAGAGTTTGGCGGCATAGGTACTGGCTTCGACCTGACGCCACTGCTTATGAACATGCAACCTGGGATAGCCTGCGCGGCGTCTGCGATCCACCTGCATCTCGCAGATGCATGAGTACAGATTCATCTCGGGACCTTCATCAGACGACATATGCACCATATAGTGGGTGCAACACGTACGGCGGGTTGCCCCTTCGCGGCAACACCGAAGCTGTTGACCATTCGCGAAGGTCCCTGCTTCAGCTTGCACGAACCTTCCTTGCTCCAGATAGCAGCACGAGCTGCCAGGTTGGCGCCGTGGTGCGCTGCCTGGAGGATGGCACCCCAGCGGCTGAGGGCTGTATCTTGCGACGTCTCCTTGGCGCACATCATGGACATATGAGCCACCACTGTCCAGATGGGCATGCGATGGGGCTCCGGTCGTCAGGGCCGTTAATGAGACGCGAGATGTTGACTGGACAAGCTAGGCCCTTGTGACAGCTGAATGTCCAGGATTGAACACCCAGAACCAACGCGTCCAAAACAATCGCAGTGACAGAAGGCGTCGATCAGGTTGTCCCTCGCCACGTCGACCTTGGGAAATGCCTTCCACTGGGGGCTCGCCATCTTATCGGAGGCTTGCCTTCTCATCTTAATCAGCTTGTAGCTCTTCTTCCAGTGGGCGCTTATGTAGTACTCTTCGGGTCCAAGAAGTGCCTGGGCCTTTTTTACTGGTGATTCTTCCACTGGAGGAGTGGAGACGTACTGTTCGAGTGTCACCGCGGCGTTCTCCTGCAGGGCGTCCGCAGCTGGTGGTGCGTTCTCTACGTGCCCATTGAGAATATGCGCAGCGTTTGCCACCTCGCAGTAGCTGGCAAGAACGAGATTCAACTCCTCGCTCTGCTCCTGCTTGCCACAGTCCGCAATCTGCCCCGTGAGCTCCCGGAGCGTGGTCTCAGCGTCTTTCGCCAACTCCTCCCAGCCATCGTAGATTAGCTTCTTCTCCTCTCGGGGTGCATGCCAGAGGTTCCTGCCAATCCTCGGAAGATCGCTGCAGTTCACGCTGTTGACGAGAGCCAACGCCGCGGGAACACCCGTCTGGTAGGTCCCTGAAGTTCCTCCAAGCGAAATCTGACGCAGGGTGAGTGCTCGCGGGATCGTCAACCTCGGCCTTCGTGCACGTGGCGAGGTTACCATAGGGGGGCTCGTAGTCTTGATCCTCGGCTGCGTCAAACGCGTTGTGCGACGTGACCAGGAGTAGCTTCCTTGGCGGGAATGGACGTCAACCGCTTCATCCAGACATGAAAGGCAGGGCATCTCTGGCATTGATGCTAAACTACAAGCATCTCAGCCACATGCTTGTTGATGGCCGTGGCATGGTCCTGAGCTGGATAACCCATCATCTGTCGAGCACGGCCCCTCAACGCCAAATAATAAATCAAGTCGTCGCTGGGGCAGCGTCCGTTTTTCTCCAACACATCGGGCGGCTCCTCCTGCGTCGTCTGGCCCATGTTCTCGCCCAGATACTCCGCCGCCGCAGGCGCCGGCGGCGGCCCAGAAAAGGACATCATCGTCGTCCCCGCCGCCGCCGCCAGCCGCCGCCGCCGCCGACCGCCGCTCGCCGCCGCCAGGGGGGGGGGTGACCCCCCCCCATCCCCTCCGTCACGGGAGGGGGGGGGTCCGGTTCCAACCCCCCCCCCCCCCCCCCCCCCCCCTCCAAGCGACCACACAACGCGCTTTCTCATACTAGAAGAGCTTTCAAATGTCCT